TTAGGGGTGGCCCTTCCTGCTTCGTGAAATGATAGAATGATATGGACTGTAATTAAGATATTACCGTCGGATAACTTTTCTTCTAAGAATTTGTGAAGGAGTCGTGGTCCTCAGAGTGAAGTTTTTTTGTATAGATTACGATAAACGTCATCTGTATTACCATAATAGGAGAACTTCCCACCACGAAAAATCGCACATGTCACTTCCATGAAGGTTAGGCCTTGAAAAATTGTGAGACTCTTTGACATATTCTTAAAGTCTAAACGGGTCTTTAGAAACTATAAAATATTTAGTAAGCTTTAAAATCCCAAAATTTCTGAAAGTGCTCCGTCACAACCAGGGCCGGATTTAGCATAGCGCCATGTGGGCCCGGGCCCATAGCGGCACATTTTTAGGGGCGGCAAAAAACAATGCGAAAAATAAGGTAACCACTTAAGAAATTGAAGTTGGAATGTTAGTACGCACACTCTTCCCAACTTAAAACTAATCATGAAATATGTAGTAACATAACCTCACATTTCGACGAAATTATTTGAACTTTGTATTAAGGTTGTGGAAAATTTAGGGCTTTTTCCGCAATTTTTTTTGTTGAAAACGCCTAATTAAGGTTACTCAGTAACTCGGCAATTCTTGTTCTATTCCCCTAAGAGTTCTACGGTAGTCTTTGGGAAAAGGTAATCGAATTTTCGTACACACTGGGTGGTATTCCATACCTTCAGGCCTCCAGGTATTACAATCGAACCAACTTCTCAAGTCGGGGTGTTAGCGACCGTGCCGTAGAATGCGTGGCACCCCAGTGCAGTGTCGATAACGCCCGCGGATACCGGGCGACCTCCGAATGGTGGCTCCTTCCGTGGCTGGGAGCTAAGCCTTAGGCCCAGGCGAGACCGTATTTCCTCACTATGCGTGGGTATGGCCAATAATTCAAACAAACCCATTCTGGGCTCCTCGTCAGAGGCGACTAACAACAAGCATATTGACAGAGGGGCCGGGTCCAACTCAGGGCTTTATTCAAGAACCTGGTGGTGGGCTAGCAAGAAGAATAGCGCAAACAAGGCGACGGCGAGGAAACACCGGCTCGAAGGTCAAGCGGGCCCTGCGCCAAAGCCTAACGTTGTGTCTGGGTCGTTGGCTCAGGGAGGTAACCCGACATCAGCAATCAAGCGTCTCAGACCGGAGAGAGAGACTGGCTCAGGGCAGCCTGAGAAGAAGCTTAGAACTTCTGGAGCATCCAAAGTTGCGGGACTCAGGGTGTGGCCATCGTTCCGATATCGCAGCCTGAGGTGGACATCACAGAGCCTCAGTCAAGAGACAGCTCTACCGAGGCAACGAGACCAACGATATCGACCTCCAAAAGGCGTCGAGATCACTACAGGTGCCGCCAGAGATCGACAAAGATGTCAGCGAGCTTTTGACTCGTGTGGAGGTACTTGGTTCCTACCAGCGGTCGGAACCGTCGGCCTCACTAGGGGAGGGGGAGCCCGGTACATCAGTTATGAACAAGGCAACAGCTTAGGGTACACGCGGATCTGGGAGGAAACCCTCAGAACCGATCCCCTCCTCAAGAAGGGATGTGATCCGGTCCGTTTTTCTGAAACCAAAGAGTCTCCTAGACAGCGAACATTGGCTGAACGCAGATTGCCTGTTCCTCAAATCTCACAAAATTACCATTTTTGGGGAACAACGTAGTACCTTGGGGTTTGGGGTTATGGAATACCCTCCAGTATACGATGATTCGATTACCTAGTGAGTGCTTGACAATTTTTGCACAATTACTAACACTTCTATGGAACACTATTTGGGAAAAGACCATAAAATCCTCGTACACACTGGGGGTGTGGTATGGACCCCCCCCTCCCCGTATACGAAGATTCGATTAGCCAGTAAGGGCTTGACAATCTTTGCTCAATTACCCCTAACATTTCAACATCTACTTCTTTGGAAAAAGGTAATCGAATTTTCGTATACACTGAGGGTATTCCGTACCCCCAGCTCCCCCAACCCATCCCCCGGTACCAAGATTTCGCATACAACAGCATAAGCATTCCAAATTGCTATGATACTTTTTTGAAAAGGGCAGCCGCATCTTGGTTTCCTTTTCTCAAAAATTGTCGTTTTCGGTGAAGAAAGTAGGGGGGGGGGGTCTGGTAGGTATACTAAGATTTGACTACCCAGTAAGTGCTTGACAATTCTTGCTCTACTATCCCCAACAATTCTACCGGAATCTTTGGGGGAAGGTAGTCGAACCCTCGTACACACTGGGGGGTTTTTCGTATCCCCCAGACCCCCGGTACTATGATCTCGCATACAAGAGCTAAAACATTCAAAACTCCCCTGATACTTTTTAGAAAAGAATAACTACATGTTGGCCTCCCGAGGGAAACGATGATCTTTTCTCGAAAAGTACAGTTTTTTGGAAACGTAACGTAGTACCGGGGTTTACGATGATTAGATCACCCAGTAAGGGCTTGACAATTTTTGTCCAATTACCCCTAACCCTTCTCCGGTATAATCTTTAGGAAAAGGCAATCGAATCCTCGTACCATACCCCCCAGACCCCCCAGTACTACCATCTCATATACAAGAACTAAAGCCTTCAAGACTCTCCTGATACTGTTCAGAAAAGGGCAGCTACATTTTCGCCTCCTAAGGAAAGGTTCGATGATTTTTTCTCGCAAATTACCGTTTTTGGGGAATAACATAGTAGGGGGGGGGGTTATGGATTCCCCCCCCCCCCATACGACGATTCGATTACCCAGTACGGGATTGACAATTTTTGCTCAATTACCCATAAAACTTCAACGGTATAATTTTTTGGTAAAGGCAATCGACGTCCCGGTCCCGTAATCGCAGGGGAGGGGGGAGGGGGATCCCCAGACCCCCGGTACTATGATTTCGCATACAAGGGCTAAAGCCTTCAAAACTCCTCTGGTAGGTACGTTTGAGAAGAGGGCAGCTACATCTTCGCTTCCTAAGGAAAGGTTCGATGAGTTTTTCTCGAAAAATACCGCTTTTGAGAAACAACGTACTACCGGGGGGTATGTAATCCCCCCCCCCCCCTCTATACGAAGATTCGATTACCCAGTAAGGATTTGACAATTTTTGCTCAGTTACCCATAACACTTCAACGGTATAATTTTTTGGAAAAGGCAATCTACGTCCCGCAAACACAGGGGGGGGATCTCCAGACCCCTGGTACTATAATTTCTTCAAAACTCTTCTGATAGGTACGTTTTAGAAAAGGACAGCTACATCTTCGCCTCCTATGGAAAGGTTCGATGATTTTTTCTCGGAAATTACCGATTCTGGGAAACAACGTACTACCGGGGGGTATGTAATTCCCCCCCCCCCACCCCCTATACGTAGATTCGATTACCCAGTAAGGGTTTGACAATTTTTGCTCAATTACCCATAACACTTCAACGGTATAATTTTTTGGAAAAGGCAATCTACGTCCCGTAAACACAGGGGGGGGGGATCCCCAGACCCCCGGTACTATAATTTCTTCAAAACTCTTCTGATAGGTACGTTTTAGAAAAGGGCAGCTACATCTTCGCCTCCTATGGAAAGGTTCGATGATTTTTTCTCGGAAATTACCGTTTTTTGGGAAACAACGTAGTACCGGGGGGTATGTAACCCCCCCCTCCGTATCCGAAGATTCTATTACCCAGTAACGGCTTGACAATTTGACCCAGTGCCGGTGCGATGGAGGGATTTCAACCCCTCGTTGTCCACCTCCAAGTGGCGTCGAGGTCACTATCGGTGCTCTCTCAGAGATTTTGGTTCGTGTGGCGGTTCTTGGCTCCGACCGAGGGTCGGAACTGTCGGCCTCACTAGTGGGTGGGGAACCAGTGACGGACACGGTAACCTTC